TGCATTCACGGTAAACGCTGCATGTGACGGCTCAATTGGAAATTACCTTAAATTTCAATAGCATATAATGCAGATCTTTAGCGGTACTGATTGAATCTAGCCCTTTCCTATTGGTTGTCAGTCTTTGTTGCTGCTGGAAGATCATGCTGAAGAGGAAAGGTACAAACAAACATGAATAATGGTTGTTGCTAAGACACAGTTAATAATGCACAGATCCTACTGCCTTCATTGGAGAAATATACTTGGTGGTGGCCACGATTTTGACCCTTCGAGAATGTTTCAGAATTAAAGGGAGGCGGTGTGGTGATTGGTAATTATGCTTTTATTAAACAAAACAAAAATAACAACACAGCTTGATTATAGTCAATCACACACACACACAAAATCCAACCATATGTACTCACAAATACAACTTTCTGTCACTCACACAGAGATACACACATACATTTGGGACTCTGCATTACAAATAAAAATGCATTACAAATAAAAATGTTCATGTACATTTTCACACTAGGTTACACATGGTCAACGTGGACATTAAAATGTAAAGTATGAAAGTGCATTGAGTAATAAGGAAGATAACTACTCAAAATAATACATACAGTATGCTCTTGTCACATTTGCTTCATAAGGTAACATTTCTTTAAAATCAGTGTTCAGTATTCCTGTATTTCGATGTGTGTATGAATGTGTGTTCCATGTCCAAGTCTTTGGGGTCACACCATGGTCCAAGAGTAATAATATTGTAAATAGAATTATACCACACTGTTTTTAAATTATTCATTTGTATTTTTCTATTTGTATTTATTAAGGATCCCCATTTTATAATTACGAAAAATAACAAACCACTCATTTCCAGCCTTGAGAACATACCAAAACAACTTACAAGTCCATCTCGGAAATAGATGTAACAGCAATCAACCACATACATAACTATCTTTACCTAATCTCAGGCATTTTTATGCAAATCAGTAGATAAATAATGAGATCGCTTTGAACTGTGGTGTGGGAACAGTTGAACATGATTCACCCCACACAGTTTAACATGATTCACCACGCACTCCACACACACGTACACATGGATTTTGTACTCTTCCTGGGGTCCAGCAACATTAAGGCAGTTATATACAATTTAAAATATTACATTACATTATATTTCATAACACTTTTCACAGGCCACTACTCTACTACCACATATCTACAATACAAAATCCATGTGTACGTGTTCCCACACCACAGTTCAAAGTGATCTCATTATTTGTCTACTGATTTGCATAAAAAATGCCTGAGATTAGGTAAAGATAGTTATGTATGTGGTTGATTGCTGTTACATCTATTTCCGAGATGGACTTGTAAGTTGTTTTGGTATGTTCTCAAGGCTGGAAATGAGTGGTTTGTTATTTTTCATAATTATAAAATAATTATGCTATCTGATGAATTATTGAAAGTATTGTATTGGGTACCAATTTACTTTTTGACTGTGAAACAAACTTCCTATACTGTTAGTGTCTGTTAGTTTACAGTAGTATCAATTATGATATTAAAGCTGAAAAATTGATTTTTTCTTTTTTTACTAATCGGGTCACATAACTGTCCATCAGTGCTCATAGATCACAGACTCTGTAATAACAGTGGGATGCACTCTTTAATTGACACAAGCCAAAGGTTCATACATCCATATAAAAAAGTTATTAAAACTCCCTGTTAAACTGGCTCAGAAGGCACATCACTCGAATCTCCATCTTATTAAAGCATTAATTATATTTAGTAAATGAATCAAAGAATCAAAGAGTCTGGCTAGCCCACCCCGCACAGCCCCAAACAAGAATGTTGTATCATGGTGCAACATAAACCAGACTGTGCATGACCACATCCTGTGTTCCCTCCTTACACTAAGGCCTAGATTCAATCAGATCAAGCGCTAACCGGTGATAGCCGACACCCGCATAGCTGATGTTTTGGAGGTGTACTGTAACTGCGTTGGAGCTGACAAATCGGTGAGCAGCTGCTCATGAAGCTACACCCATCCCACTTGCGTATGAAGTGCAGAATGAGAAAGTGTAAGTTATACAGAAATAAGGAAGCACAAATTGATTAGGATTTCTGTCAATCTAATCGAGGTGTAGATTACATCTAACATTCCAGTGTTTCAAACTTATAAACAAGGCATGGAAATGATGCAGACAATTACATTGATGGAAGCCACAATCTATCTGCAATATTAAAGCTAATCTACCATGCATGTGACTCCATGCAAACAATGGCAATGTTCGCTTTAAGTATAATGCCAGGAGCCGCTTGTGGATTTGACAGCTCAACATTTGTATTCTTTGGGATGGCAACACGAGTGAAGTTTCCATAGTTTAAAACGCATGTTATTAGATAAAATTAAGGTCAACATAATACTGGGCAACATACTGTAATTGGGTACATTTCTCTGGAATACAGAAACTGATTATGAATGCTGTAAATTAATATGGTATAGATTGACTACTAATGGAAGCTCAAAACTGTCTCTACAAAGACATTAAACTGCCTCCTGTAGCTCCTGTGCCTCCTGTAGCTCAGTTGGTAGAGCATAGTGCTTGCAATGTCAGGGTTGTGGGTTCGTGTCCCACGGGGGGCCAGTATGAAAAATGTATGCACTCACTAACTGTAAGTTGCTCTGGATAAGACCGTCTGCTAAATGACGTAAATGTAAAACTCCTTATTAAATCAATCTGTATGGTTCTATTGCAGTAAAAGTGCTTGAATTAATTTGACTCAAACATTGCCCTTTTCTGTCCTCACAAAGAAGAAAAATACACATAGATATGTTTTTTTATACTCTCGCTAACACAGGGCTTTTGTCCTTAATGCTGATTCTGTGGTTTACCCCGTCAGTCAAAGGCTCTCAAGTTCTTGAAGGGTCCTTCAGTATAAGGCTAGTTCAGCGCAGCATGACAACATGTACAGAACAGGGAAGGAAATACAGTGCCTTCAGAAAGTATTCATACCCCTTGACTTATTCCACATTTTGTTGTGTTACAGGCTGAATTCAAAATGGATTAAATATATTTTTTTCTCTCACCCATCTACACAATACCCCATAATGACAAAGCAAAAACAGGTTTTTAGAAAGTTTTGGAAATTTCTTTAAAAAACAAAACAGAAATACCTTATTTACATAAGTATTCAGACCCTTTGTTATGTGACTCGAAATTGAGCTCAGGTGCATCCTGTTTTCATTAATCATCCTTGAGATGTTTCTACAACTTGATTGGAGTCCACCTGTGGTAAATTCAATTGATTGGACATGATTTGGAAAGGCACACACCTGTCTATATACAGTGGCATTTTTCCTATTTTGTTGCCTTACAACCCGGAGGGGTTGTATAATTTGATTTACACAACATGCCTACCACTTTGAAGATGCAAAATATTTTTTCTTGTGAAACAAACAAGAAATAAGACAAAAAAACAGAAAACTTGAGCGTGCATAACCATTCATACTACAGATTCTCAATTGGATTGAGGTCTGGGCTTTGACTAGGCCATTCCAAGACATTTAAATGTCTCCCCTTAAACCACTCGAGTGTTGCTTTAGCAGTATGCTTAGGGTCATTGTCCTGCTGGAAGGTGAACCTCCGTCCCAGTCTCAAATCTCTGGAAGACTGAAACAGGTTTCCCTCAAGAATTTCCCTGTATTTAGTGCCATCCATCATTCCTTCAATTCTGACCAGTTTCCCAGTCCCTGCCGATGGTGTTCTCGCGGTGGTGAGAGGTGTAGGGTTTGCGCCAGACATAGTGTTTTCTTTGATGGCCAAAAAGCTCAATTTTAGTCTCATCTGACAAGAGTACCTTCTTCCATATGTTTGGGGAGTCTCCCACATGCCTTTTGGCGAACTCCAAATGTGTTTGCTTATTTTTTTTCTTTAAGCAATGGCTTTTTTCTGGCCACTCTTCCGTAAAGCCCAGCTCTGTGGAGTGAATGCTTAAAGTGGTCCTATGGATAGATACTCCAATCTCCACTGTGGAGCTTTACAGCTCCTTCAGGGTTATCTTTGGTCTCTTTGTTGGCTCTCTGATTAATGCCCTCCTTGCCTGGTCCGTGAGTTTTGGTGGGCGGCCCTCTCTTGGCAGGTTTGTTGTGGTGCCATATTCTTTCAATTTTTAAAATAATGGATTTAATGGTGCTCCGTGGGTTGTTCAAAGTTTCTGATATTTTTTTATAACCCAACCCTGATCTGTACTTCTCCACAACTTTGTCCCTGACCTATTTGGAGAGCTCCTTGGTCTTTATGGTCGGGCTTGCTTGGTGGTGCCCCTTGCTTAGTGGTGTTGCACACTCTGGGGCCTTTCAGAACAGGTGTATATATACTGAGATCATGTGACAGATCATGTGACACTTAGGTTGCACACAGGTGGACTTTATTTAACAAATTATGTGATATCTGAAGGTAATTGGTTGCACCAGATCTTATTTAGGGGCTTCATAGCAAAGGGGGTGAATACATATGCACGCACCACTTTTCCCTTATTTATTTTTTTGAATTTTTTGAAACAAGTTATTTTTTTCATTTCACTTCACCAATTTGGACTATTTTGTGTATGTCCATTACATGAAATCCAAATTGAGCTCAGGTGCATCCAATTTCATTTGATCATCCTTGAGATGTCAGTACAACTGGATTGAAGTCCACCTGTAGCGAATTCAATTGTTTGGACATGATTTAGAAAGAGACACACCTGTCTATATAAGATCCCACAACTGTCTGTAGATCTCTGAGGCTGTAACACAACAAAATGTGGAATAAGTCAAGGGGTATGAATACTTTCTGAAGGCACTGTACATTATTCAAGTTTTTGTTTTTGTTTGAGGACTCCCGTTTGTGGTTTTGGTTGTATGTGTTGCTCACAGGCGCTAGTTGCAGAGAGCAGGGCAAATCTCTGACCGTTTCTGACCACCAGACCACTACACTTTAATGGCTTCATCCTGTACACACCACCCCTGCTCATTCTCATCTCCTGTGCAGCTTAATTTTGCCCACCGTGTCGAGCTTTTGGATAACCTCCGTCTCAAAATCGGCATGGTGGACCCCGGTTTTCCTAAACGCGCCACCATACTTGTTTTCCTCCCAGTAGTGGTGCCAGTTCCCATGTTGGTCAGCTCCATAGCCAAATACAGACACCTGGAGAAGGACAGCAATGTTTAGCGTTAGCATTACTAGTGTTATTAGTATTCTGTTTACTTTCAACCAGGCTTCTCATTCTAAAGATTAGGCTCTTGATGTCAAAGGATACTCACTTCATCGCAGATGTGCAGGGCAAATATGATGGCCAGCATGCCTGTGGATGGGTATCTGCCATGGTGCTCTGTCCACCGGTCGTGGGTGTACTTAAAGAATGCTGGATTTACTACTATTACCTGCAAACGAGAGGGTGATTAGCTGTAATGCAACACACATAAAGTGTTAATAATTAAATGTTTTCATCCAACATGACAATAAATAAAATTACAGCTTTTTACAGATTTTTTTATGTTACATGTACAGTTACCTCTGCTGCAGAGGATACGTTCATTAGAGTTACCAGCCTCAGAAATTGCAGCCCAAATAAATGCTTCACAGAGTTCAAGTAACAGACACATCTCAACATCAACTGTTCAGAGGACACCAATAAGAAGAAGAGACTTGCTTGGGCCAAGAAACACGAGCAATGGACATTAGACCGGTGGAAATCTGTCCTTTGGTCTGATGAGTCCTAATTTGAGATTTTTGGTTCCAATCGCCATGTCTTTGTGAGACGCAGAGTAGGTGAACGTATGTGTGGTTCCCACCGTGAAGCATGGAGGAGGAGGTGGGTGGGTGCTTTGCTGGTGACACTGTCTGTGATTTATTTAGAATTCAAGGCACACTTAACCAGCATGGCTACCACAGCATTCTGTGGCGATACGCCAGTCCCACTAAGCGCAAACCAGATGGGATATCATTTGTTTTTCAACAGGATAATGACCCAACACACCTCCAGGCTGTGTAAGGGCTATTTGACCAAGAAGGAGAGTGATGGAGGGCTGCATCAGATGACCTGGCCTCCACAATCACCCGACCTCAACCCAATTGAGATGGTTTGGGAGGAGTTGGACCGCAGAGTGAAGGAAAAGCAGCCAACAAGTGCTCAGCATATGTGGGAACTCCTTCAAGACTGTTGGAAAAGCATTCCAGGTGAAGCTGGTTGCGAGAATGCCAAGAGTGTGCAAAGCTATCATCAAGGCAAAGGGTGGCTACTTTGAAGAATCTAAAACATAAAATATATTTTGATTTGTTTAACACTTTTTTGCTTACTACATGATTCCATGTGTGTTATTTCATAGTTTTGATGTCTTCATCAATGTAGAAAATAGTAAAAATAAAGAAAAACCCTTGAATGAGTAGGTGTGTCCAAACTTTTGACTGGTACTGTAAATATTTTTACCAAAAGTATTATTATATTGTTGATTGATTGACTAAGGTTTTCCAAATTTCCCAACAGTGCTATTTGTAGGGTTAATTTTTCAGCCATTCCTGAACCTGTGACCAGAAACAAGCTACATAGGGGCAATACCAAAATAAGTGATCTAATGATTCTGTCTCTTCATAGCAAGCAACATATGCAGAGCTGAGATGGTTGTATGCCTCATATACATAACATTCTGTTTGTGCAAGAATTTTGTATAATAATTTAAATTGAAAAACTCTAAGTTTTGAATCAAGTGTTGTTTTGTGTATCAGTTCATAAATCATCAAAAATCTCTTCCCAACTACTTTGCAACCTGTATTTTTGTCCTCAACTAAATGTCAAGACCTACCTTGTCCTTGTCAGCCTGTACTCGATCTTTCACCCTCATGTATGTTCTGAAGAAACATGAAAGAAAAACAACAATACAATTGTTTTATTTTATTTTACCTTTATTAAACCAGGTAGGTGAGTTGAGAACCAGTTCTCATCTACAATGACAAACATTTGTCACGATAGAAACGGAACAGTAAAAATGTACACAGAAAAGACAACTGTCACATTAAAAAACAGACTAGGGCCTAGATTCAATCAGATCAAGTGTTAACCGGTGATAGCCTACACCCGCATACTTTAGCTGATGTTTTGGTGGTGTCGGAGGTGTGACTGCGTTGGAGCTGTCAAATTGGTGAGCAGCTGGTCTTGATCATTGTCACGAAGCCACACCTGTCCCACTCACGTTAGAAGTTCAGAATGAGGTAGTGTAGACTATATAGAAATAATGACATTCAACTAAATTATGAGGATTCATATCAGCCTAGTTGAGGTGTCGATTACAGCTCACATTCCAGTGTTCGAACTTGTCAACAAGACTGCATGGGATTTCTCTTAATGCGAATCCGTGCAGCCAAAGGCAATGTCCGCTTTGTGGATTTGATAGCTCTAAAGCAGTTCCACCTCAGACACCGGCAAAACAACTGCTATGTAAATGTTGGCTTAAGCGGGTCTGATTGAATAGAGCCCTAGGACAAGGTCAAGGTCAACAATTAACTATGCCATCTGTTTTAGTCAGTCAGATGCATACCATGCAATAGTCAGTTGAGTGCACAAATGCAGCTACTGCATGTTGTGGAGTGACAGTAAAAAGCTTGGAATTGGCATAGAGTGGACCTACGTTTTGATCTCTCCCGTTGACAGGGCGCTGGCCACCCACTGTAGATCGCGGAGTTTAAAGGGAAGCAGGACGAGGTGGACCCCAGGGGCGATGTCCACTGCACTCTCAGGGTACATGAAGTGGTGTGTCGTTCTGTTGCCCACATCCACCTCAAACCCTGCTGTGGTGGCTTTATTCATCCTTGACAGCAAAGCGAGAACATTGCTTCAGTTCACAGGCATGTCATGTATGGCGTGTGAGTTAACAATCAGACACTGTATTAGATTTAACATGGTAACCCTGCAGCTACTGGGCTGTAGTCTACACTACCGGTCAAAAGTTTGGACACACCTACTCATTCCAGGGTGTTACTATTTTCTACATTGTAGAATAATGGTGAAGACATCAAAACTATCAAATAACACATATGGAATAATGTAGTAACCAAAAAAGTGTTAAACAAATCCAAATATATTTTATATTTGAGATTCTTCAAATAGCCACCCTTTGCCTTGATGATTGCCTTGAACACTCTTGGCATTCTCTCAACCAGCTTCACCTGGAATGCTTTTCCAATAGTCTTGAAGGAGTTCCCACATATGCTGAGCACTTGTTGGCTGCTTTTCCTTCACTTTGCGGTCCGACTCATCCCAAACCATCTCAATTTGGTTGAGGTCGGGGGATTGTGGAGGCCAGGTCATCTGATGCATCACTCCATCACTCTCCTTCTTGGTCAAATAGCCCTTACACAGCCTGGAGGTGTGTTGGGTCATTGTCCTGTTGAAAAACAAATGATAGTCCCACTAAGCCAAACCAGATGGGATGGCGTATCGCTGCAGAATGCTGTGGTAGCCATGTTGGTTAAGTGTGCCTTGAATTCTAAATAAATCACAGACAGTGTCACCAGCAAAGTACCCACACACCATAACACCTCCTCCTCCATGCTTTATGTTGGGAAATACAAATGCGGCGATCATCCGTTCACCCACACCGCGTCTCACAAATTTGGACTCCAGACCAAAGCACTAATTTCCACCGGTCTAATGTCCATTGCTCATGTTTCTTGGCCCAAGCAAGTCTCTTCTTCTTATTGGTTTCCTTTAGTAGTGGTTTCTTTGTAGCAATTCGACCATGAAGGCCTGATTCACACAGTCTCCTCTGAACAATTGATGTTGAGATGTGTCTGTTACTTGAACTCTGTGAAGCATTTATTTGGGCTGCAATTTCTGAGGCTGGTAACTCTAATGAACTTATCCTCTTCCATTCCTGTGGCGGTGCTCATGAGAGCCAGTTTCATCATAGCGCTTGATGTTTTTTGCGTCTGCACTTGAAGAAACTTTCAAAGTTCTTGAAATGCACCAAATTGACTGACCTTCATGTCTTAAAGTAATGATGGACTGTCATTTCTCTTTGCTTATTTAAGCTGTTCTTGCCATAATATGGACTTAGCCCTATTTGGTAAAATACCATCTTCTGTATACACACAAATTAACTTTTAAGAAGGCACACCTGTTAATTGAAATGCATTCCAGGTGACTACCTCATGAAGCTGGTTGAGAGAATGCCAATGGTGTGCAAAGCTGTCATCAAAGCAAAGGGTGGCTATTTGAAGAATCTCAAATATAAAATATATTTTGATTTGATTAACACTTTTTTGGTTACTACATGATTCCATGTGTGTTATTTCATAGTTTTGATGTCTTCACTATTATTCTACAATGTAGAAAATAGTAAAAATGAAGAAAAACCCTTGAATGAATAGGTGTTCTAAAACGTTTGACCGGTAGTGTATGTGTGCATTCATTCCAGACAGTCAGTCAACCACCTGACTTAACCAATAGTTAACTAATTATGGTCTTGATTGAGCTCATTTGGCATACCTCACTGGTTTCAGGGGATGAGGTAATTGGGTCAGGTGGTTTGATGCGTGTCTGGAACTGAAGCCTGGTCACTGCGGTTCATCAAGCTCACTATTGCCTAATCCTGCCAATGTGAATGGCTGTAGGTTGTTTGGATCATGGCAGCGATGGGGTTGTGTAATGCCTGCTCTCGCTTTTTAGACTATGTTGGTGATAATCATGGTTGTTTGGACTATGTACTGCCGTTGTTATGTCTGTTAATGGTTGTTTTGACTGTTTGATTGTTTGTGTTGTCTGCGTTGGGCCATGTTTTCTCTGGGACATACCTTATGACACTGTTATGGGAGTCTATCAAGGAGCCATATTGAGAGCCCAGCAGGTTTCCTGAGTTCCCCACCACTGCACACTTCCTGCATTGAGCTTGTTTGGGTTGTACATCCATGGCAGGGGGAGTGATGACCTGGAACATCTTCTGGATCACCTCGTATATCGTACGCTCATCGGTGGACTGCTGCAAAGCCTGACGGGAATGTTAAAAACTCACTTTAGATGTGGAACAACAATATCTCACAGGAATAATGCCTGCGCTCACCTTTGACTACCAACAAACAAAAACAGGGCAATATACAAGGGTCCTTTTAATATTCAGTACTCAGGGAATCACCAGCCTAAATAGATTCTAATGTTGGCAGCTCCAGAGGGAGGCCATGTGTTAAATGTGCCCCTTCATTACCAGCCAGCCTCTTTGTGGTAATCTTATTAACAGTCGGTGTGTGTGTGTGTGTCCTGACCACTGCATTTAAGTGCCACACTGCCAAGCTTATCTTAGCCCACTTACAGTGTTGCTTGCGAAACCTCAAAAGCCTCTAATTACGTTAAATTAAAACGTATTGAAACAAAGGCTCAGACTGGAGAAAGGCTAACTGAGGCAGAATTCTCCTTCAGGGAGTTTATTTTGGAAAGTAATCACCCTGACGATTACAGTGCAAGAAATCCACCGCAGTAGGTTTTAATGACATTTGGCCAGGAAATGATGGTAGAAACAGAGCACGTTTAGTTTTTGCTGTGCACCACAGAAGCTGTCTTTTTGAGATATTCTCCATTTGCCACAATTATTTTTTGACTTCAAACTTTGATATTTGCAGCATGCATGAGAGACAAGAGAGTAGGACTACTAAGGGCTCTATTCAATCCATATCACGGAAGTTCAGCATTACAGCGTGATTGACATTTAAAGGCAATGTTCAGCATTAGCGAAGACTGCATTCACGGTAAACGCTGCATATGTCGGCTCAATTGGAAATTGCCTTTAAATTTCTAACGCTTCAGCGATAAAGATTGAATAGAGCCCTAAATCCCTCATAGGAATAAAATGATGACTGGCGAGTATATCTGGGAATACACACATTACACATCCATATACAGTGCCTAGTGAAAGTCTACTCACCCCTTGCATAGTCTTCATAATTTACATTTGATATTTTTTCCTACACAACCTACTCCACATTTTCAAAGTGAATTAAAGTTATTGAACATGTTTTAAATGAATACAAAATCTAAAAACTAATATGTCTTGATTGTGGATGTCTTCACATCCCAGAGTTAATACTTAGTGGAAGCACTATTTTCAGCTATTACCGCTGTGAATAATTTGAAATAAGATTCTACCAACTTCGCACAACTCTTAGGGCAGAAAGTATATACTTTTTCCACATTTTGTTGTGTTACAGCCTGAATTTAAAATGGATTAAATTGAGATGTTGTGTCACTGGTTTACAGACAATAACCCATAATGTCAAAGTGGAATAATACAAATGAAAAGCTAAAATGTCTTGAGCCAATAAAAATTCAACCCCTTTGTCATGGCAAGCCTAAATAAGTTCAGGAGTAAAAATGTGCTTAACAAGTCACATACGAAGTGGCATGGACTCACTCTGTGTGCAATAATAGTGTTTAACATGATTTTTGAATGACTACCTCATATCTGTACCCCACACATACAATTATCTGTAAGGTCTCTCAGTCGAGCAGTGAATTTCAAACACAGAATCAACCACAAAGACCAGGGAGGTTTTCCAATACTTCGCAAAGAAGAGCACCTATTGGTAGATGGGTAAAAAAAAAGAAGAAGCAGAATATCCCTTTAAGCATGGTGAAGTTATTAATTACACTTTGGATAGTGTATCAATACACCCAGTCACTACAAAGACACAGGCGTCCTTCCTAACTGAGTTGCCGGAGAGGAAGGAAACCGCTCAGGGATTTCACCATGAGGCCAATGGTGACATTAAAACAGTTACAGAGTTTAATGGATGTGATAGGAGAAAACGGAGGATGGATCAACAACATTGTAGTTACTCCAAAATACTAACCTAAATGACAGAGTGAACATAATATAGCTAAGCACAGTCAAAATCCTAGAGGAAACCTGGTTCAGTCTGCTTTCCAACAGACACTTGGAGACAAATTCACCTTTCAGCAGGACAATAACCCAAAACACAATTATACACTGGAGTTGCTTATCAAGAAGACATTGAATGTTCCTGAGTGGCATAGTTACAGGTTTGACATACAGTACCAGTCAAAGGTTTGGACACACCTACTCATTCAAGGGTTTTTCTTTATTTTTACTATTTTCTACATTGTAGAATAATAGTGAAGATATCAGAACTATGAAATAACACATGGAATAATGTAGTAACCAAAAAAGTGTTAAATCAATCAAAATATATTTTATATTTAGGTTTCTTCAAATAGCCACCCTTTGCCTTGATGACAGCTTTGCACACTCTTGGCATTCTCTCAACCAGCTTCATGAGGTAGTCACCTGGAACGCATTTCAATTAACAGGTATGCCTTCTTAAAAGTTAATTTGTGGAATTTATTTCCTTCTTAATGTGTTTGAGCCAATCAGTTGTGTTGTGACAAGGTAGAGGGGGGGTATACAGAAGATAGCCCTATTTGGTAAAAGACCAAGTCCATATTATGGCAAGAACAGCTCAAATAAGCAAAGAGAAACAAAAGTCCATCATTACTTTAAGACATGAAGGTCAGTCAATACGGAAAATGTCAAGAACTTTGAAGGTTTCTTCAAGTGCAGTCACAAAAACCATCAAGCGCTATGATAAAACTGGCTCTCATGAGGACCGCCACAGGAATGGAAGACCCAGAGTTAACTCTGCTGCAGAGGATACGTTCATTAGAGTTACCAGCCTAGGAAGTAAATGCTTCACAGAGTTCAAGTCACAGACACATCTCAACATCAACTGTTCAGAGGGTACTGTGTGAATCAGGCCTTCATGGTTGAATTGCTGCAAAGAAACCACTACTAGGACACCCATAAGAAGAAGAGACTTGCTTGGGCCAAGAAACACGAGCAATAGACATTAGACCGGTGGAAATGTGTCCTTTGGTCTGGAGTCCAAACTGGAGATTTTTGGTTCCAACCGCCGTGGCTTTGTGAGACGTGGTGTGGGTGTACGGATGATCTCTGCATGTGTATTTCCCACCGTAAAGCATGGAGGAGGAGGTGTTATGGTGTGGGGGTGCTTGCTGTTGACACTGTCTGTGATTTATTTAGAATTCAAGGCACACTTAACCAGCATGGCTACCACAGCATTCTGCAGCGATACGCCATCCCATCTGGTTTGGGCTTAGTGGGACTATCATTTGTTTTTCAACAGGACAATGACCAAATCAAATCAAATCAAATTTTATTTTATTTGTCACATACACGTGTTTAGCAGATGTTATAGCAGGTGTAGCGAAATGCTTGTGCTTCTAGCTCCGACAGTGCAGTAATATCTAACAAGTAGTATCAAACAATTTCACAACATATACCTAATACACACAAAACTAGTAAGGAATGGGATTTAAGAATATATACATATATGGACAAGCAATGACAGAGCGGCATGGACTAAGATACAGTAGAATATTATAGAATATAATGCAGTATATACATATGAGATGAGTAGTGCAAGATATGTAAACATTATTAAAGTGACTAGTGTTCCATTTCTTAAAGTGGCCAGTGATTTCAATAGGGAGCAGCAGCCTCTAATGTGTATCATCTTCTGGATGATAGCGCGGTGATAGCGCGGTGAACAGGCAGTGGCTTGGGTGGTTGATGTCCTTGATGATCTTTTTGGCCTTCCTGTGACATCGGGTGCTGTATGTGTCTTGGAGGGCGGGTAGTTTGCCCCCGGTAATGCGTTCCGCAGACCGCACCACCCTCTGGAGAGCCCTGCGGTTGCGGGCGGTGCAGTTGCCGTACCAGGCGGTGATACAGCCCGACAGGATGCTCTCAATTGTGCATCTGTAAAGGTTTGTGAGGGTTTTAGGTGCTAAGCCAAATTTCTTCAGCCTCCTGAGGTTGAAGAGGCTCTGTTGCGCCTTCTTCACTGTCTGCGTGGGTGGACAATTTCAGTTTGTCGGTGATGTGTACGTCAAGGAACTTGAAGCTTTCCACCTTCTCCACTGCGGTCCATTCGATGAGGATAGGGGGGTGCACCCTCTGCTGTTTCCTGAAGTCCACGATCATCTCCTTTGTTTTGTTAATGTTGAGTGAGAGGTTATTTTCCTGGCACCACACTCCCAGAGCCCTCACCTCCTCCCTGTAGGCGGTCTCGTCATTGTTGGTAATCAAGCCTACTACTGTTGTGTCGTCTGCAAACTTGGTGATTGAGTTGGAGGCGTGCTTGGCCACGCAGTCATGGATGAACAGGGAGTACAGGAGGGGGCTAAGCACGCACCCTTGTGGGGCCCCAGTGTTGAGGATCAGCGAAGTGGAGATGTTGTTTCCTACCTTCACCACCTGGGGGCGGCCCATCAGGAAGTCCAGGACCCAGTTGCACAGGGCGGGGTTCAGACCCAGGGCCTCGAGCTTAATGATGAGCTTGGAGGGTACTATGGTGTTGAATGCTGAGCTATAGTCAATGAACAGCATTCTTACATTCTTCAGGCCTCTAGGCTGTGTAAGGGCTATTTTAACAAGAAGGAGAGTGATGGAGTGCTGCATCAGATGACTTGGCCTCCACAATCCCCCGACCTCAACCCAATTGAGATGGTTTGGGATGAGTCGGACGGCAGGGTGAAGGAAAAGCAGCCAACAAGTGCTCAGCATATGTGGGAACTCCTTCAAGACTGTTAGAAAAGCATTCCAGGTGAAGCTGGTTGAGAGAATGCCAAGCGTGTGCAAAGCTGTCATCAAGGCAAAGGGTGGCTATTTGAATAATTTCAAATATAAAATATATTTTGATTTGTTTAACACTTTTTGTGTTACTACATTATTCCATATGTGTTATTTAGTAGTTTTGATGTCTTCACTATTATTCTACAATGTAGAAAATAGTTTAAAAAATAAAAAAAAACACCTTGAATGAGTAGGTGTGTCCAAAGTTTTGACTGGTAATGTAAATCAGCTTGAAAATCTATGGAAAGACTTAAAAATGGCTGTTTAGTAATGATCAACAACCAACTTGACAGAGCTTGAAGAATTTTTAAACGAATAATGTGCAAATATTGTACAGTCCAGGTGTGCAAAGCTCTTAGACTTACCCAGGAAGACTCACAGCTGTAATCACAGCCAAGGTTGATTCTAACATGGATTGACTCCCCTTGAATACTTACAGTGGGGAGAACAAGTATTTGATACACTGACGATTTTGCAGGTTTTCCTACTTACAAAGCATGTAGAGGTCTGTAATTGTTATCATAGGTACACTTCAACTGTGAGAGACGGAATCTAAAACAAAAATCCAGAATATCACATTGTATGATTTTTAAGTAATTAATTTGCATTTTATTGCATGACATAAGTATTTGATCACCTACCAACCAGTAAGAATTCCGGCTCTCACAGACCTGTTAGTTTTTCTTTAAGAAGCCCTCCTGTTCTCCACTCATTACTGCACCTGTTTGAACTCGTTACCTGTATAAAAGACACCTGTCCACACACTCAATCAAACAGACTCCAACCTCTCCACAATGGCCAAGATCAGAGAGCTGTGTAAGGACATCAGGGATAAAATTGTAGACCTGCACAATGCTGGGATGGGCTACAGGACAATAGGCAAGCAGCTTGGTGAGAAGGCAACAACTGTTGGCGCAAATATTAGAAAATGGAAGAAGTTCAAGATGACGGTCAATCACCCTCGGTCTGGGGCTCCATGCAAGATCTCACCTCGTGGGGCATCAATGATCATGAGGAAGGTGAGGGATCAGCCCAGAACTACACGGCAGGACCTGGTCAATGACCTGAAGAGAGCTGGGACCACAGTCTCAAAGAAAACCATTAGTAACACACTACGCCATCATGGATTAAAATCCTGCAGTGCACACAAGGTCCCCCTGCTCAAGCCAGCGCATGTCCAGGCCCGTCTGAAGTTTGCCAATGACCATCTGGATGATCCAGAGGAGGAATGGGAGAAGGTCATGTGGTCTGATGAGACAAAAATAGAGCTTTTTGGTCTAAACTCCACTCGCCGTGTTTGGAGGAAGAAGAAGGATGAGTACAACCCCAAGAACACCATCCCAACCGTGAAGCATGGAGGTGGAAACATCATTCTTTGGGGATGCTTTTCTGCAAAGGGGACAGGACGACTGCACCGTATTGAGGGGAGGATGGATGGGGCCATGTATCACGAGATCTTGGCCAACAACCTCCTTCCCTCAGTAAGAGCATTGAAGATGGGTCGTGGCTGGGTCTTCCAGCATGACAACAACCCGAAACACACAGCCAGGGCAACTAAGGAGTGGCTCCGTAAGAAGCATCTCAAGGTCCTGGAGTGGCCTAGCCAGTCTCCAGACCTGAACCCAATAGAACATCTTTGGAGGGAGCTGAAAGTCCATATTGCCCAGCGACAGCCCTGAAACCTGAAGGATCTGGAGAAGGTCTGTATGAAGGAGTGGGCCAAAATCCCTGCTGCAGTGTGTGCAAACCTGGTCAAGACCTACAGGAAACGTATGATCTCTGTAATTGCAAACAAAGGTTTCTGTACCAAATATTAAGTTCTGCTTTTCTGATGTATCAAATACTTATGTCATGCAATAAAATGCAAATTAATTACTTAAAAATCATACAATGTGATTTTCTGGAAGTGTACCTATGATAAAAATTACAGACCTCTACATGCTTTGTAAGTAGGAAAACCTGCAAAATCGGCAGTGTATCAAATACTTGTTCTCCCCACTGTATGTAAATTAGATATTTCTGTATTTATTTATTTTTTAAATTGCTACAAGTTCTAAAAACTTGTTTTCACTTTGTCATTATGGGGTATAGTGTGTAGATGGGTGAGAAAAAAAATCGATTGTATCCATTTTTATAATTCAGGCTGCAATGTGGAATAAGTCAAGGGATATGAATACTTTCCATTGTTTTTGTCAAAATTGCTCAAGCTCAGTACATTTGGTTGGGAATCATTTATTGACAGCAATATTCAAACTTTGTCTCTGATTTTCATGCCAGGACTGAGACTAGACCACTTAGGAACACTCAACACCTATTAGAAAGCCATTCTGCTGTGTCTTTGGCATTCCAATTAGTCTAATTGTCACTCTGAAAAATACAACTGTATCCCATGGTTAGGTTTTCAGAAGACTGAGTCAGGTTTTCCTCTAACTTTTTACCTGGGCTTTGCTCCTTTCATATTTCTTTTGATCCTGACAAACTCCCCAGTCCATGCCGATGACAAGCATACCCAGAACATGATGAAAATACACACCAGAATGGCTTTGCAAGAGTCAGGACTGAGACTGGACCATTCAAGAACACTCAAGTGTTCCTGAATGGTGCAGTCTGAGTCCTGACTTAAATCTGCTTAAAAACAAAGTTTAAATATTGCTGTCCATCAATGATTCCCAACCAAATTTACTGAACTTGAGCAATTTTGACAAAAACGATGTATATATGTTGCCTTAAGAGTTGTGCAAAGTTGGTAAAATCATATTGAAAATGATTCACAGCTGTAATTGTTGCCAAAGGTCCTTCCGTCAAATATTAACTCGCAAAAAAAAAAGTGACTCGTTTCAGGAAACTAGGTGTCTGTCACGCATCACTACTTCACAGGAGCTAATGGGGATCCCTAATAAACACAAATACAAATTTGAACGTAAACTTTTTTAAAAAATCAAAATGCGTTTTTTGACAGAAATGCCTTCTGGAACATGTGAACTTTCATGTGCCTTAATAACAAACTTGTATGCCATCTGTAAATACGAATACAATTGTTAAATTACGAGCCTAGTTGTTTTAACCACAGAAAAAGACAGCAACCTTCCCGCTAACCATGATTGGCTGAGATAATGAGTGGGCTGGACATGCCGAGAGATGAGTTCGGATTAGATAGTTTAGATAGCTACATTTTCAGATATTACACGTTTCTAATTTTATCAGAAAGTCGTTTTCATTTCAAGTTAAAGTGTACTGTTAGCTAGCTAGCTAACGTTAGCTGGCTGGCTCGCTAGCTAACCTTACGTGTATGATCTGTGTAGTAATATTATTCATATCTCAGAGCCATTTGCTTTGCTAGTTATAGCCTATGATATACTATTTTCTAGCTATGAGTCTCTACTTTTATCCAATGTAAAAAACACAATTTCAAATTTTGCTACAAAAGACCGAATCGAGCTGGTTGGTCACATATATAGTAATACAATGTAATACTACATTATTATTATTATTACTAAGTAGAAATGTGTTACATTGTACTGATGTACTACTAATAATGTACAGACATATTATTTGGGAAAGTGTCAGAGATTCCTTTCTGTAATTTTTGTTACAATATACAGAATTTTTGCTGTATAATCATACACCTTTAACAATAAGCTGACAGTATTTGGCCACATACATGGCCACAGTATTCTCATCAATAGTAATGGTCTTACCAGCCACCACTTCAGGGCCAGGGGGTCCATGTTGTTGTCTCTGTCTGTGAGGAAGGGCTGCTGCTGGGGGTCATAGTGCTGAGCGAACCACGCAGAAACCTCCATGTCCGCTATGCAGGACGGGCACTCACATATCCTGTCCGGACTGGGCACCGTGGCACTGTGTGTTGCCCATGTTCGGTTAACAGCGGGCCCTGGAACAGTCCTGGAGGTGGCATGGGTCTTCATCAAAGTCATAGACAGGATGTTGTTCTTCTGAATGGTGATCATGACAAAGAGAATCCCACCAAACAGAGAAAACAGGCACAACTTCCTCTTGAAGAGCATGACTGGATGTTTTGAGGTACAGTCAGTGCCCTGGGTAAAAGGCAGTCCAGTGATAAGACAACAGGCGTCGGCACCAGGAGTTCCAGTGGTGCAACCCAACTTAGGCAGTCCAGTGGTATTGTCTTGGCTCCTTGACTTTATATCCTTAGTGCTTCCGGATTCAAGCGTAAGAACCAGAAACATTCAGCAACTACTTCCTAATGTTTTATCTCCCTGCTGTTCCAGCCAGAGAGATGGCACACTTCCTAAAATCACAGGTAACACAAACATGCAGAAGAATTGGTTGATACCTGAGTTTATAATGGAAAGAGGGTGTTAGCTGGATTGTGACCCTGGCCTGATGCGTCCCATTTGATCGAGGAGAATAAGTCCCAGGAAAACATTCGACCAAATACTTTTGTCTGCCGCTTACGAGGGAGACTGCCTTGCTCTGTTCAAGGCAATCGGCGAGGAAAGAAAAAGAGGAAGGAAATAGCCTTCCTAACCAGCCTAAAGAAGGCCTCTCATTGGTTCAACCTCCATGTTTCTCTCCAGAGCTCTGGTCTGCGCACGCTGCATAGCTTCCTGCTTCTAGAAGACACAAACATACACAGATATCAGCATCAACGCAATGATTCGGAAACTAAATAAACGTCAACCATTTTACATTTACATTTTAGTCATTTAGCAGACGCTCTTATCCAGAGCGACTTACAGTTAGTGAGTGCATACATTTTCATACTCAACCAAGCTGCTTACGTAACATATAGGAGATTGGGAGAGAAACCAATACTCCAAGAGCCACATACTGAACAGAAAGACAGCAGCTTTTGATAAACTGCCCATCGATGTAGGGCAAAATTCATACAGTATCTTGAAAACATCCATCAAAATTATACTGTGTGGATGGCCATCTGGTATTTACAGTATTTGCACTTAATATAGGCGCTCAGTACTAACTCCACTTCATATCAGCACGATCGATAACAAAGCTTGCACAAATGTAACAGAGTCACCCTACTGGCTGTGAACCTTCTGTTGTTAGCACCCCTCTTCATGTGTGTGGCACAGAAAGAGGAAATCCAACAGAACTGTTAACGTGCAGCCTTTTTTTCTTCACCTTGAGTTCTCAGAGCACAACACTACCATCGAAGGAGTGGAAAGCCAGAACAACTGTAGCCTCTCTCAGGAACACGACTGAGTCCATTCTGCAACACAAAAGTTAATAAATAAAGTCACACGCTGGCTCTGCATTAATGCATCTCCCATAGATACACTGCCTGCATAAACTGTAGCTACAGCCGTCAGGAAACACACATAGAAACCCTCCCCCCCCTTCCTTTGGGGCCAGACTCAGTGATATCAGGGATGCAGAATCACTTGCATTGAAATAAGCAAGCCTGCTGACTTCCCTCACTGGGCTGCTGCTGCCTCTGGATATTAACAACAGAGACTCCCCACCTGGCTGCCAAGCTAAAGCCACAGTGGTTAAAGGATCCGAGAGAGGAGGGGTTGGAGGGAGAATTCCCAGGGATCAGCTGATGCTGTGGAAGAGTTCTGTTAGATGAGATGAGATCATATCGGTGTATCCCTGCCTGCTTGTCTGTCTGCCTCTCTGGTCCTGCTGCAGACCAAACATCCCTGCATCTTATCCTCAGAACAGCAGAACAAATGGCCCAGGCTCAACCGGTAGGCCCAGGCCCAGACACTTCACATTAATTATTCAATCAAATGAAGGCAGGTAACCCTGAATTACAATGACAGGGCAAGAGAGAAAACACCCACATAGGGATACACACAGGGCATCACCGCAGAGTGTTTGAAATTCACTGCTCGACTGAGCGACCTTACAGATAATTGTATGTGTGGGGTACAGAGATGAGGTAGTCATTCAAACATCATGTTAAACACATGCAACTTATTATGACTTGTTAAGCAAAATTTTACTCCTGAACATATTTAGAATTGCCATAACAAAGGGGTTGAATACTTATTGACTCCAGACACTTTAGCTTTTCATTTTTCATAAAAAATGAAAACGTAATTACACTTTGACATTATGGAGTATTGTGTGTAGGCCAGTGACAAATAATCTAAATGTAATCCATTTTAAAGTCACTTTCTGAAGGCACTGTACTACACTGTACTATTATATTTAAAATACTTTATACAGTTCTGATTAGCGTTAATCTGCAAGGGCATACCTACTTTGCAGACTACAGTGCATTCGGAAAGTATTCAGACCATTTCCCCTTTTCCATATTTTGTTACGTTACAGCCATATTCTAAAATTGATTAAATAATTGTTTTTCCTCATCAATTTACACACAATACCCCATAATGACAAAGCGAAAACAGGTTTTTAGACATTTTTGCAAATGTATATATATTTTTAACAGAAATACTTTATTTACATAAGTATTCAGAACCTTTGCTATGACACTCGAAATTGAGCTCAGGTGCATCCTGTTTAGCTGGCCGCCAAACTGAGTGTCACGCCCTGGCTCTGGGGACTCTCGTATGTTGAGCCAGGGTGTTTATTTTGTTTAGGTTCTAGTCGTTGTCTATCTATGTTGGCCTGAGTGACTCCCAATCAGAGGCAACAAGTGTCAGCTGGTTGTCTCTGATTGGGAGTCATATTTAACTGTCTGTCTTTCACTTTGTGTTTGTGGTTTCTTGTTCTGATTTGGTTTGTGTTATACTGTAGACGTCACGTTATCGTTGTTGTTTTGATCGTGTGATCATTCTAAATAAATATATAATGTTCGCATTCAACGCTGCGCCTTGGTCCTCTCCCTCCTTAGACGAACGTGACAGAAGAAACCACCAAAACCAGACCAAGCAGCGTGTCCAGGAGCCATCGCTAGCAGATCTCCGTGGCAACCTCGACTGGGTCAAGCCTAGTGAGGAGCAGAGAGGGTGGACTTGGGACCAGTTGAGGAAGAGCTTCGACTGGGTCAAGCCCATTGAGGAGCTGAATGGCGGGAGTTGGAGACAGAGGAGCGAGAGTTGGGCGAGAACGATGGAGGCCTGGCCCACGGGGAGGAGAGACCCCCAGAAATTTTTTAGGGGGGGGCTCACGACGTCGGGGCAGCAGGAGGCCGCGATAGAGCGGTCCAGCGGGTTGGCAGAGGAGGCCGCCAGGTTACGGGAGTCACTGGTCACCAGGGGGAAGGAGGTTGTAGAGGCACGGCGAGAGGTACTGGCGTGTGTTGCCAGTCCGGTCCGGCCTGTTCCTGATCCCCACGTAGGGCCAGTGGTGTGTGTTCCCAGTACGGTCCGGCCTGTTCCTGCCACTCCCACCAAGTCAGTGGTGCGTTTCGTCAGCCCGGCGCGGCCCGTTCCTGCTCCCCGCACCAAGTCAGTGGTGCGCGTCGTCAGCCCGGTCCGGCCCATTCCTGCTCCCCGCACCAAGTCAGTGGTGTGCGTCGTCAGCCCGGTCCGGCCCATTCCTGCTCCCCGCACCAAGTCAGTGGTGTGCGTCGTCAGCCCGGTCCGGCCCATTCCTGCTCCCCGCACCAAGTCAGGGGTGCGCTTCGTCAGCCCGGTCCGGCCCATTCCTGCTCCCCGCACCAAGTCAGGGGTGCGCTTCGTCAGCCCGGTCCGGCCCATTCCTGCTCCCCGCACCAAGTAGTGGTGCGCTTCGTCAGCCCGGCTCGGCCCGTTCCTGCTCCCCGCACCAAGTCAGTGGTGTGCTTCGTCAGCCCAGTCCGGCCTGTCCCTGCTCCACGCACCAAGCCTACGGTGTGCGTCGTCAGCCTGGTAAGGCCCGTTCCTCCTCCACGCACCAAGCCAGGGGTGCGCGTCGTCAGTCCAGCACAACCCGTGCCTGGGTCATGTCCGGAGCCGGATCCGCCGCCGAGGCGGAGTGCCCACCCGGTCCCTCCCCTGTTGTGGTTGGTTGGCGCGGTCGGAGTCCGCGCCTTTGGGGGGGGGGGTACTGTCACGCCCTGGCTCTGGGGACTCTCGTATGTTGAGCCAGGGTGTTTATTTTGTTTAGGTTCTAGTCGTTGTCTATCTATGTTGGCCTGAGTGACTCCCAATCAGAGGCAACGAGTGTCAGCTGGTTGTCTCTGATTGGGAGCCATATTTAACTGTCTGTCTTTCACTTTGTGTTTGTGGTTTCTTGTTCTGATTTGGTTTGTGTTATACTGTAGACGTCACGTTATCGTTGTTGTTTTGATCGTGTGATCATTCTAAATAAATATATAATGTTCGCATTCAACGCTGCGCCTTGGTCTCTCCCTGACGATCGTGACACTGAGCAATTAGGAGAGAAGGGCCTTGATCAGGGAGGTGAGTTCCTCTGGGGAGATGGGAGAACCTTCCAGAAGGACAACCATCTCTGCAACACTCCACCAATCAGGCCTTTATGGTAGTGGCCAGACGGAAGCCACTCCTCAGTAAAAGGCACATGACAACATGGTGGTGGCAGCATCATGCTGTGGGGATGTTTTTCATCAGCAGGGACTGGGAGACTAGTCAGGATCGAGGGAAAGTTGAACGGAGCAAAGTACAGAGAGGTCCTTGATGAAAACCTGTGTCGTGTATTGGGATTATGCTGTTGTTAAATGTTTTTAAGTGGAACTGAAAGAATGTTGATTTTAGTATCAAGAGGGAATGTTTTAGTGTAACGCCACATACAACAGACAGGAAGAGTGTTGTAGACAGGGGAGACTGGTGATTGGCCAGAAGAGGGAGCCACCCATCTTTTTGCATTGTTTATAAATAGGGGCTAGACACAGAAAGGGCAGAACGGCCATTCCAATCTGAGGCGCCGTTCTCCGGATGTCATGACATCTGTCACTCATGCTAAAGCTTGTGATCTGAATAAACTTATGATCAGGGATTCAGTATGAGCGGACTCCTTTGTTTATCAGCAATAATTGCCACCACTCACTCGATACGACACCTGCTCCAGAGCGCTCAGGACCTCAGACTGGGGCGAAGGTTCACCTTCCAACAGGACAATGACCCTAAGCACACAGCTAAGACAACGCAGGAGTGGCTTCGGGACAAGT